TTATTCTCGCTTGAATCTATACAGTAAATTGCCTAAAATCCAAAAAAATTACAAAGAAATGTCCCGACTGCGAAATTCATGGTTCGTACCGTCGCTAAAAAATGCTTTCAGAAATGTCCAGTATTTGCACTTCATTCGTTCTCTGTTCTCGAACATACGACATTATTTTTCGGCGTCGTTTTAAAGTCGTCATTTTGCTCGGGCACTCACTTGTTTTTCTCTTTAGAGCGACGGTCGCCAAAAAGTATTAAGACGGAATCCATCAGGAAATTGAGTAATTTTAATTCTCAGTACACAAAAACCTTGTACCAGAATAATTTAAACAATATTGCATTCTTTTCACATTTTTCAAGGGCTATAGATGTACTTAGTTATTTGTAAGAACACCAAAGAAAATTTCTGATGGGAACTGGAGAAAATGAATGTCAAATTTTACAAAATTACATTTTTGACATAAAATTTTCAGAATTTAACCTGTGTTTTCACAATTCTTGTGAAATTTGACATTCATTTTCTCGGACTCCCGTGAGAAATTTACATCTTTGGGCCTTGAAAATGTAAAAAGAATGCAATATTGTTTAAATTATTCTGGTACAAGGTTTCTATCCACTGAGAATTAAAATTACTCAATTTTCTGGTGGATTCCGTCTTAAACGAGTTTGGTGGGCCGTCACAAATGAAGAGATAGAATTATCAGGGTTAAAAATTTGAGTGCGAAGCACAGTAAGTTTTAGATTTTATAGCACCCGCTGATTTTGAACAACTTTAAAGACATCCCCAGAGAATTTTATTTCTTAATGCCACACAGTGCACTGTATTAATTCTCTTTTCATGTTAATTTAGAAAATATCAAACAAAAGCAGCCAAAGTATAATTTATATTATTATTCATTCAAAATATTTCTTCCTTTCTGATTGGCTAAACGCACACGTATAATTCACCATAACCAGCTACTGTTGACCAAATTTGGAAGAACTTTGCAATTAATCAACTGATGATGTCAAAAGTGCAGCAGAGTTGCAGGTTAATGCGAACCTAGAAGACCTGGGGATGAGGTTGAGTTGTTTTGGTTGTGAAAGAAAAATGGCCGAACAGTTGGCAGAACATTTTACTCGTTTCACGACGAACTATTGTCTAAAAACATAGCAAGAAGACAACTCGACAGACAACATCTGCTATTTGGAATATATTTGCAGAGCTGAATAGCCCTTTATATTTTAAACATGCACTATCGAGGTGAACTTAACATCGACAAAGATAAACATGTTTTAACTTGTTTTTAAACTAGGAATTAGTTGGAATGAATAATAAAGCAATCAATGAATTTGGCTTTCCTAGGATATAAAGAATTCTGCAGAGCGGCCTCAGTGGATAAGACCCTCCTCGATCTGCAGAATTCTTCATATCCTACTCAGCCTCATTCATTACTTGCTAAGTTACCATAAATGATCTAATGGGCACCCAGCTGTTAAGAGTTCTATGGGGCCTTTAAAAGAGAAAGAAGAACTGATAAAATAATTATAATGCATTTGCTGGGATAGCCGAATATCTTGCCCATACATATCGATACATCTAGACTGTCTAGACATCCATAATTGCTCTTTCGGTAACCAGTCGTTTCGCCTAGGTCTAGAGTTGATTCGCCTACGTCTAATGTGTCAGTTTGCCATCGATTCATATGTTGAAGCTTTAAAACTGAATTATTAAATTCCTTGTTCCTGATGTTTTTAAAAACTTGATTATCAGAAACCAGTCATTTATGAACAGAATGTGTGAATCATATTTTGCTAAAAGTGTTTTAAAAACATGTTATCGTAAAACTGAGCTTTAAGATGTGTATTAAGATGTACTACCGTTTACGGTCTTTGTGTAGACTTGTGACATGCGAGTGGCGCCTATACTAAAAAATGTGAGACTTTAGTAGTGCGGTAGTCTTCAGTCCCTTTGATTCTGAAGATGACTACCGCACAGGTTGTCGAAACGTCAGTCACTGTCAATAACAACAGTCCTGTTCACGAGTACGTTCACCCGGACGATCAAACTCAACCTACTTTTGAAATGACTCCTGGGTTCAAACCTTTCACAGTAATACTAACAGAGTTGATGTTCTTAATCATAAATATAGTTTGGGCCCTGCTTATAGTGTCCATTACGAGTCGGGGGTCCAAAACATATTTTTGCCCGCGAACATAAACTCTTTTGTTTTACTGTAACACTATTTTCGATTTGTAGTTAATGGACATTAACTAGACATTGATTTTCTTGTTACGACATACTCGACTCAATGGGAAGGAAAAAAAAATTAATAATTGTTCTACCTGATAGGAATTCTTACTAATCGAAAGTTTTTAAGTGTACACAGTTAGGATATAACTCCAGGAGACTCGACACTGAAATGTTAACTGAGAAGGGAGAAGCTGTTAACCCAATTTCTAGTTTACAACAGGAGATTTGTTTCTACCCGGCGATACTGTCTGGCAATGGATGTAGCTATCGCTGGTCTAATGAATGAGCAAGGCATGTACAGGCTAGGAGATTAAACTGCTGTAACTTCCTTTTTAACGCAGAACCACTCGATATGGGTTAAGAAGATAAGGACGCGTTTCGACTAGTCTCGAAGAACTGGCATGCTCTAAAATAGTTCATTTCCTCCAGGTGCATGATGAGCCTAATGATACTCTGCAAGACAAACAGACAAACATCATACTTTGAGTCAGAACACCAATTCCTAACATTGAAATTTTTTTGCCAAATTACCAAACAAGCGGAGTGATTTGCGGGTCTTTAATTTCGTGATTTTCGCGAAGGGAAGAAAACCACGAAATCAAAGACCCGCGAATTTAAACGCTCGCGATATTTAAGCGCGCTTAATTTAATACCGTTGTTGGAAATTGGAATCACAAACCTGTGTACCATGCGTCGAAAGGAGAAGAAGGAATAAGATACGCTTTTTCCCTCCCCCTTCCTTTCCCCTTGCTTGCGCCTGCCACGCAGGCTAATTTTTTTATTGATAAGCTCCATTTTGTAGTTTCAGTTGTAAAATTCTCTCCCGCCAAAATTGCGATATTCAGTATGACAATCAGGTACGTTAAGAAGTAAACAAGATCTTACTTCAGGCAATAGAACGTCATTCAGCACTCGACTTTGAAGGTTGTCTCCATCAGGTTGTACTACTTCAGAAAATAACTGGAGACGCGACTGTCTCAAGACGTTTGGTCAGCATGTCCGCCTGATTTAGGTAAAACACGAAAGAAAGAAAAATAAAAGGGAAAAAAGGAAAGACATTAAGAATTTTTAACAATTATTAATTTAAATCAATCATTTTGCATTTTGGTGCCGTTTATTCACGCGAGTTCTCTTGTGAAAGCTGGAACAGTACAGTTTCGTTTAGACATTGACACCCTGTACCTATTGTTTATAGGTAGTCTAGCGAGAACATAACCTCCTCAGTCGGTTAATTGGTGCTTCTTTGTGCATTTCCTTTCCTTTAGTTTTTCATTCTCTTTTACGTGGATTCGTCAGTAACGATTCCCTCAAAACTTCTAATAGACATTTTGGCCAAGGTAGGTAGGTAGCAACTTTATTTAATGAGGGTAACACATGACAGTAAACACTGATGAACTAGTGGCTCTCAATCGTAATCAAAATATTTAGAACTAATAAAAATAGATACGACGAATTAAAATTGAAGAATTGAATTGAAGGTGAAGAGTGCAACTTACATGCGACACGAGGCCTGAGAGGGCAACTACATCTTGTAACTTACTGCATATATTGAAGAAAAATCTACCGTGTGAGCACAAGTGTCGGCTCACGTGAACTTTTGACGTTGAAAACAAAATTAAAAAGTGATGAGGATGATTAAATCAAAATTATGAATGGAAATCACTTACAATGTGACGGCTTAAAGGTCCATGCAAAAATCCCCGTCGCGAAGGAAAACGAGCAGAAGTGTTCAAAGTCTTTCTGAGTGACAAAGTGGTTTTTTCCACCAAGATTTCTCTGGTCAAGTCCTGTTGATAAGTTTTTAACGACAGCAATTACATATAATCATCTTTAAATTCCCCTGGAAGATATGACAACAGAAGCAAAAGAAAATTACAAACCTTGAGATATCATGTGGTTAGAAACCTGAAGACCTTTTTTTATCGGTTCAAGAGGAAACCAATCTGGTTTTGCTAAGAGCTATTCAATCCACAGTGACTGAGCTTTTAAGTAACAGATAATAATTTCTCGCAATATAAATACTATGAAGTATGAAAATCAATAGCAAAAAACAAAGAAGTTGAAAAAAGGTAAAAGGAAATGCATAATTCCATTTCTAGACTGACATACGTATAGAAATGCCTCGTTAGATATCACCTTTGAGGACCATCTTAGTATCAAGAATAAACGCCGCAATTTCCAATTGCGAAAAATACATTTCAAAAATGGTGGTAAAGGATCATTCGTATGTTTCGTCCCTGCTAATTAAGGGACTCTACCAAAGGCCTTTACACAGCATCTTGTATAACCGCTAGCACCATGTTACATCAGAGGTGATGGTGACAACTGCCAACCTGCTCATGTTAGGACAGACTGCCATCACAATTACTAAAGCTACAAGATCCCTAAAGGCAAATCTGGAATAACAACAACGTCAGTTTAAAACATCAATAGTATCAATCCTGGGAACCAGGAACAACTAAGATACTTACATATCACGACTGCGCAACGGGAAAAGCAGTGAACATCCACAACCATTATAGTGTAATCTTTGGCTTCTTCAAGGGTGATGTCCAAACAAGCACAATGGTACCATTCATTGCACGAGAGGCACTGGACCATTTCAGTACATGCTTGGTGGTCATTGTTGAGGCCACGCCAAAATAAACAATGCCAAGAATCCATAGCACCGCACTTCCAAGGAAGAAGGGGCAGATGTGGTTGTATGCATTGCCATGACCGTTGAGTGGCAGCCAAATAATATGGAAGGGTTTATTGTAGTATTAGTTTGCTTCTTACGGGAAACAGCATGGAGGATTCTCCAGGGTATTGTAAAATGCTGCTCCCGGAAGAGTGCAATGTTCTTGAATTGGCACTTTTAAAAAACCAGCGGCAAAGGAGACCTGTAAAATACCTAATAAAGGTAGAAACATTTTTATATCTTTAGGCATTGTAGCAGTCATTGTTTTTGAACTCTTTATTTTCTCAACGCCCTCCAAAGGAATAATAATAGTAATCATAGCTATAACAAAATTGTCAAATCTGATTGGCTCTCAACTGCCCTGATTTCAGCCTTAATTGGACAGTTTAATAGGACAGTACGCGTCATGCCTAAGTAATTGGACAGTACGCGCCATCACGCGAGCGCTTAAATGGCTTTTTTTTTCACTGCTAGCAAAACAAAATTTCGAATTTCTTGTGTTTTGTTTAAAAAATAGCCTATTGTATCACAAATTTTGTTAAAGTTATGATTAATTGGTAACAGAACTTCGTGTCGTCCAATTCAGTCTGTAATCATACTCGTGATTAAACAAATCGGACTCCCGTTTCGCGGTCGTCCGTTTTTGTTAATCACTCGTATGATTACAGACCGAATTGGACTCCACTCAGTCCTGTTACCATTACTAATAGAGTTTATGTTCTCGGACATAAATATGTTTGGGCTCTAATTAGAGCTCATTTTCCTGTCATACGTCTTTAAAGGAAACCATTACTGTTTAATATTACTATTTTGGGCCTACTTTGTGACTTACAGAAATGTCCGACGGTGCAACTCGTAAGCCGAGCAATATGGTTGGCCAAGCCCAAATGAAACCTAAGTTACCTTGAGTTTTTGGGAATTCGAAAAAAACTAGTTCACATTAAGGGGAGTAAAACCACTGAAAACGCCAGCGTAAGGGCAACTACCATTGTCAAAAATAGCGAAGAATTCGAAGCCTCCAAGCAGGACTGAATTGATTGGGATTAACTGTAAACGAACAGGTAAAAAACACAAAGAATAGAGAATTAACAAAGGATGTGGCAATTCATACCGATATCGGTGAAATTGGTTAGCGCGGATATGACTTGACGCTTGACAATTTCAGCCACAATTTTGTGGACTGAAGCATCTTGTAGACGACCAGTCTCATGTACAGACAGACTCACACAAGCCGCCCATTGCAGAGCATTGTCTTTGTGGGAAAGACGATCTTCATTCTGAAAAAGGATAATCACCCAAGCAATAATACAATTAAGAGGTAATAAATAGCATTATTTATCACCGACAGTCATTTTTTATTGCATCTGTTAACGACGTCATTTAACAACCTCCAACAAACTATGGGGATCAACAGCAGTATATATTAAAAAAATATCTGATAAAATTGAGCTGAACAAGTAATAAAACAATCTTCTATTTGGTGTACTTACCACCTGAACAATGTGCTCATAATGAGCAAGGCCAAACAAGGCGGAACCGAGTCTATAAACCTCGGAAGATTCTTCTCCCTGATCCATAATTACTGCTAGTGAGTTGTAAAAGCAGTTGCCATCACCACTTGTATAGAACGGTTCCAGGCCCATGTCGTTTATGTAAGGTGGCACGTAAGTTGAAAATCTTGGAAAGATCAATGGTGAGGAAATTTGTTAAACAATGGAGCAATTAGGAGATATTAAGAACTAGCTAGAACGAGTCCGTGAGTTCCAGATCTACTTGTAAAGAAAAATTGGAATTAATTATTTGCAAGTGTTTGAAAACCCCGAAAAAACCTCTCAGTGCAAAGAAGAAAACCAACAACAAACTCAACCTGCATATAGCTTTTTCGCTGGGATTCATGTGAACCCAGGCCACATTGATGGGAACCGAATGTTGTCACCACTGCGCCACCCTTGCACCAAAGTTAAAATTAAAAAAAGGATGGTTTCTAAAAGCTGATACAAATGTTGTTATACTGTAAGTAAAATTAACTGCTGACAGTACTGTTTCGGCCTTTTGGGCCTCATCAGTGCAGTGCTGATGCTAGGATGGAGGTTAAGCTATGAAGCTACCCGAAATGATCCCACAAATATGATATCATCTAAGCCACGCCACAGTGCTCTAACTAGTAACTAGTGAGCATGCTACAGTCATGACTCATCCTAGAAGAATTCTCAATTTCAACATGAAAGTAAAGCTTTATATGTGAAAGAGGTTTATCTAACTGCAGACAGTGCTGTTTCGGCCTTCTGGCTCTTGTCATTGCAGTGCTGATGCTAGGATGAAGGTAAGATAAGCTATGAAGCAACCCCAATAATACCACAAATGTAAAATCATCTAGGCCATGCCAGAGTGCTCTAAACCGTTGTAACTAGCGAGCACGCACAAAGTCATCTGGACCCAAATCTTTTTATTCCCTGTAAGTACAGTCAAACCCAATGCTACAGACACCTACTTAATGCAGACACCTCATTAGTACAGAAAGTTTGCAGTGTCCCTGCGAAAACACCCTTGCATTTTCTGTAAATTTACCCGCTTAATTCAGATGCATTACAGACACTTTTCTTAATATCAATGAGGTTTGAAAGTATTGCTGTGCTGTGAAAAAAAAAGACACTTCTTTGTGGTTAATCATGATTGTCAAAGCAGTTTATCATGTACATACAAGGGACTTACAACTGCAGTTATTGAAGAGATACAGTTCTGATACAATTTCTAAAGTGTAACAGAACAATCACGAAACAGTATTTTCAGGTAACATTGAAATTCGTTTGAAATAAAATTAAATGAAACTTCCCATTTGCATCTCGCTGTTACGATCAGTGACAAAAAGGAAATATTTTTTGTGTTGTCTAAAACATGATGCACACATATACAAAACCAATAGGGTGCAATTGAAAATGCCTAAACAACTTCAGAGGAAAAGTAAACATTTGAAAGTATTAGCACCCACCCTTGCTAGCTGTTCCTGTTAATATATCAATTGGCTACCCTCCGATAAAGATCAGATAAAGATATTGAAAAATGCAAAAAAGTTGATCTCTCAACTCCACATACCTTTCAGGAAGGCGCCGCTGCTCCTCACTGGTAAGGAATTTGGGCAACTGCATTAAAGGTAAATGAGCTGCAATGTGGGAAGACAAATTCTTGTTGACATCCCAGGGCAGTTTTATCATACACCCAAGGATGTCACGTGCCTTATCAGCATTTACAATTATGTCAACATCATTCTGAAACAAAACCGATGAAAATTTAGTTGGAACTCCAGCAACTTGCTCATTGGTGATCCTAGAGGTATGCAGGATGCGTGTAAAATATGAACCTAGTATATGGCCTCACTCTACATGAGCTCTCTGTAAATCAAGTGAATAGAGCGCCCACACGGTGTCTGGGAGGTCATAGGTTCAATCCCGTCAGGGACTCAGATTTTTTCTTTGCCCCACGCTCGTGACATGGTGATTATTAATTTTCATTTTCACATTTGTTTCACCGAGCTTAAAATTTACCATCTTTCATTTCTTTCACCACACAGTGCGACGTCGACATTGCTGATCCTAGCAGTATGTAGGACACGTGCCAAACATGAACCTAGTAAGTGGCCTTGCTTTTAATGAGTTCTCTGTAGCTCAAGTGGATAGAATGCCCGCCTGGTGTTTGGGAGGTCATAGGTTTGATTCCTGTTGGGGACTCATTTTTTTCTTCGCCCCACGCTTGTGACATGCTGATTATTTTCATTTTCATAAGATTAAAGTTCTTTTAATAAATTCAAAAACTACAATAACCACACTATGACTTACTTTCCCAAAATGCGTAAAAGCGACGTGATCTGAAGGGTATTTAAATGGGTACATGGAAGAAAGACCTCTTTCCAGCTGTCACTGAGGTACCACGATGTATTCCCAAACTTCTGATTCACAATGCTTATTCGTTTTCCAGGTGAACCTGATGATACAGGACTAAAACCAGGTGATGTGATGTGGGGTGATGGAGAACTCACTACGATAATGGAGCTGATGGGAAAGGTGTTGATGACATGAATTGAGCAGGTGTTGTGAATTGTGCAAATGTGAATGAGGATTGTGCAGGTGTTGATGTGAATTGTGTAGGTGTAGATCTGGATGGTGTTTGTGCTGGTGTAGACTATGATTGTACTGGCGTGGATAATGTTTGAGTGGGTGTTGATGAAGTTTGTGCTGTTGAAGATGTGGACTGTAGAATTGGAATGACAGGACCTCCAGCGTCAGATTCATTATCATCATCCTCCATTGTCTCTTCCTGATCCTCATGATTAGCAGCCTCCTTGCTATTCTTGAATGCTTCAAGAATAGCAAGGAGTTGCTCTAACCTTGGCTGTGACCTGCTATTGTTGATGTCTGTGTTGTAGTTCAATTTTAACCTCTGGTTTATTTTTTTCCAAACCAGCTCAATATTTTTGAAGCAGTTTAATTTTTGTTAACCAGTTTTTAATCAACTGTCTGAAAAAGGGCCTTTTCGTTTTGGGGTGTGGAAGAAAAATTGGGGCTTGGCTTTTTAAGGGGGGTTCTGAAAAAAAATTAGATGCAAGATGAAAGATAAGAGGGAAGAAGGATGGAACTTTTCCTGCAATTTATCATCTACACATCTCCTCTTAGTCTTTTATCCTAGCCTACCACCCCACAGGATCTTTCATTTACCCCTCTGTCTCTACACTACTTATTTATTCACTTTGATATTGTTCTTACCAGGATTTGAACCACCAACCTCCAGATCTGTTGCCATCCGTTCTCTCCATTAGACCACGGTAGAATTCGTTGGAGAGCGATGAATATTTGTTGGTATTATAAGTAATTAGTCCCAGACTCCCCTCCGCGCGGCCAAATTTGTTCTTGAAATATTCATACAGTAAAAAACATGCGCATTTGGTCTAGAGTGGGACTTAGAGCTCGAAACATGGCCGAACCTCATGTACATGTTCCGTGTGTACCGAAAGAAATATTTTACGAACAGTTGGATGCCTTGAAAAACAAACAGACCAAAAACGAATCACAGATAACGCTTTTTATCGAGGATTCATTCTTC